CGTCACTGTTAGGCATTGTGATTTTTGAAAGGAAAGAATGCAGATAGCGGGTTTATGAAATTTCCAATGTGGTATTATAAAATTATGAAGCTGTGGCTCTCATAGCTTTCCTTCCTCGGCCTCCTTTGTTTCCTTAATTTCTTCCCGTTTCACGACTCTGCTGAGAAAAGGATAAACGCTTCTCATGTGCATTCTTGAGAAAAAAGCCATTAGAATGGAATAACCACCATGGGGACTTCGTGGATGAGAGAGTTATGTCAGTATAAAAGTGTGCGAGAAGCCTGGGCCATTTGGGGATGCTAGAGAAAAGGAGAGTGCAGGGATTTCAATAAGGGTTGGCTGTGGACTGAACAGGCTCCTCTACATGTTTGAGAGCTACATGAGAGGAAAGATGAACATTCCACGCTATTTCGTGTTTCCTTAGCTCAACATCATTCGGAGACAGACCACTTGTCTTCAGGAGATGGAAGGTAAAGTCACATTTATGGGCATAGAACAAACCAAACATTCTTTAGCATCTATGGGTACACCGTGATTTATCACCTGTCTTCCCCTAAACAGCCCGGGTTTCAGGACAGGGAAGCTGAATGGCCTTGGGGATGAGGGGACAGACTTATGTAAACCAATCAAGGAGACGGTTCCAATTCTCCCAAAGAGATAAAAAAATCATAAGATCATAGATCCTGGCCCAGTGGGTTCAGTGTGGAGGACCGAGGCAGGTGTGTACAAGAGGAACACACTCAGTGATCATGTTGATAAAGGGTCAGGCATCAGACCCTTAGAACTCGGGTTCTTTTTGTTGCTCAAACGAAAAAAAAAACACGAAGGGCTGAAGCAGTCGCTCATGTCTTTGTCAGAAACACGGATGGCAAATCAGTCACAAAATGTTCCATTTGGTTTCCCAGAGATTAGACTTTGGAATTAAATCAAGCTGCCAACTTTAATAAAGTATCCCCACTCCCAGCCTGTGTGTGGTGGAGGCTGTCACAGACCTATGCCTCGTGGACCTGCTCCCAGGGACGACCGCACACACCCTCCTTACTCATGACCAATGGCCTCCCCAATATAAACTTAACCTCTGGCTTGTGTGTGTGTGTGTTTGTATGTTTTATTTTTACTCAACTTTAGATTCTTTATTAATGTTTTTCCAAATAAAATGCACATTCATATTCCTTAAAAGGCAGGGAAGGAATTCTGTTTGGTCTATTTCCCTTTGAAGTGTTTCCTACCAGCTTTCTACAGGAGGCTCTTCCCAGCCAGCTTCGGTAGCCTGGAGGTGGTTGAAGAGCTTTGTTGCTGGACAGTGCCCGTGCACGGGCTCTTGTTGCCAGAACAAGAGGCTCAGCTTTCACGCTGTCGGTTTGTCAAGTACCTCCATTAATGTCTCATCATTCCATGGTTCCCATCTGTTAGTACCTTCCTTTAACATGGCAAGCTGCCCAGTTCTCTTTCACAATAAAAATAAAGACCCACAATCATTTCCTCTAATTACTTCTCCCACTTCTGAAACAGGTATCTTTTTCTAAAAAGCACTTTTCTCTGACTTCTTATTCACTCCTCTTCCTTTGCAATCTGCCTCATGCACTTAATGAAAATGCTCTTACAAAGGCTCATTGTGAATCCCTCCCGTGTAAGCCGATGGCCACAGTTCACTGTTTATCTTACGAGAGCCTTCAGAAGCCTTGGGCCTTGCACTCGTACAGATTCTCTGCGCTGTTGGCTTCTATGATGCCACTGCTTCCTCATTACTGATCTGGGTCTTTTTTTCCTCAGTCACCTTTGGGAACACTTCTTCAGTTCATTTATTCAATCTTGGGGCCCTGAGGGGGTTGCATTGTTTTTTTTCTGTTTATTCTCATTCTCCCTATTCTTGCTGGGCAATCTGAACTATTAAATCATTAACAACAATCTATATGCTGATGATCTGCAAATCTACAGCTCCAGCAAAATTTTTTTTATTGAAATTTAACCTGCTGGCTATGTCACTTCGATGTCTTACAAGCATCTACAACTCGGGCATGCTTAAAGGTCTCGTTTCCATTTATAAATAACCTCTCCCCGCCCCACCTCACCCCAAAAATGTGTCCCTCTCTTTTCTCTCATACTGAATGGTAACCAGATGGTCTAAGGAAAAAAAAAATTGACATTCTTCATTCATTTCTTTCCTCTTCCGTCCATATTCATTTAGTGACTAAGACACATTGGATTTCCTTCCCCAGTAATCACCTTCTCTCTTATCCTGACCTGAAGCTCACTCCCATTTCCTAAGTCAGGTCTTCATCTTCTCCAGCTTGGATTTCAAGCAACTAGATGACTCCCTGTCCAGCCCTGTACTGCACACCCAGTGTGGACTATCCTTGGGGTGATACGTGGTCATGTCCTTTCCTTGCTTACAACCCTTTGAGGGCTAACCATTGCTTTCCTAGTAAAATCCAAAGTACCTTTATGGCACTTTCCCCCTTCTTTTTGTTCTCTCTCACTTCCTTTTATTTCCTTTGGGTACTTCCTGTGGTGGACTGCTTTAGGGAAGATGGGCTGGAGTAATGGTTTAATCTCTAGCTATTTCATGCTTGGCTTCACTTTCCTGAGGCTGCCAATTAGAGATTTAGAGGTGAACTCTTAAGTGCTCTGCTGTGAACTGAGACTGGCTTCAAGCAGTCCTTGAAGAGCCTTCGGCCTTAGCGTCACTGCGAAGTTATCTGACTTAAAAGTGTGACCTAAAATCGAACGTCTGTGTACGCTGTTGGCTATCTCCGAGTCAGGAAAGACAGCTCTGGCTATTTCTAAGTCCAAGGTGGCCCAAATAAGGAAACGCACTTTCAGCTTCATGATGTATTAAAAAGTAATATTTTCAGACATAAATACTAGTCTCTTTTTCTTCCAGTCTCTCCTTGTACAGACTGGTGCCTGAGTGCCTTCATTTTCTTTTCTTGTCATCCGTCTTTTTCTGGTTTGGGGAATGGAAAGTCACCATAGCTGGGTGTGATCACATCAGCAGGACACATCCTGACTCCTGGCTGACTCACAATTTGCCCTGTCTTCCTTGTCATTTCAGAGAGGGGGACAGGGCATGGCACGGACAAGACAATGCAAGGGACTGCAGGCACATACACATCCTTTTCAAGAAGGAGAGTAAGGAACGACATGCTACAGAAAAACTAAAGCCCTACCCAGAAAAAACAAACAAACAAACACAAAACCAGAAAAGAAGTCATTCAAAAAGATGAGATTTAGAAAAATGAGAAGAGGAAACTGCTTTCATGTAAAAAAAAAAAATCCACCTTTTGGTTCTTTAGTGCTAATACTTCGCTTTTTCAGCTGATAGGTAAAATATGATTTACACGACATGTTCTGAAAGGTCGACCACTGGGCGCTTGTCAAGATGCAATCTCTCAGGGCTACCTGGTATTCTCATCGAAACCCCGAGATCCACGCTTGCTAAGGGGGAAAGAAATCAACGCGTGGCAGCTTACATGAGGATGTCCTCCACCAGGGTGTGCAGGGCACTGGGATTGCGGATGAGTTTGTCCAAGAAGCCGACGATGTCTGTGAATTTCGGTCTGTGGTTTCTCTCCTTCTGCCAGCAGTGGAGCATCAGTTGGTGCAGAGATGCCGGGCAGCCCATGGGCGCTGGCAGTCTGTAGCCTTCTTCAATAGACAGGATGACCTAAACGCACACACACACACACGTTAGTTTTTTACATTCCATGCCAAGCTTGACTTCTCTTGTTCACCCCGGCACTAGCAAAGAACCACCGCGAGTCCAAGGGGTTCACGCAAGGATAAATAGAAAAGGGGTAAACAAACACTGTAAGGCGCTGCACTGCATGGGCTGATCTTACGAGAGGAAAATACCCATTTTAAACCTGTGCTGCCCCTGTGCTGCTCTCCAAACCCTATTCGGACATGAGAAAAATCAGCACAGGCTTAATGTTTTTACTGCAAACCACACGTGACATATATTTTCAGTCAAACTGCACTTCTGCTGAACCATGATTTCCTGAATCATGTAGAAAACCCTCTGATAATCGCATTGTGTGTTTTTTCTAGTCACCACTCCTCCCTTTTTTGACACCCAAGTCTTTCCTCTTTGCTTATTCTGGCTTCCTGTTAGTCAGACACTGACCTGACTAGGACGTCCCCTCATCGTGTTCAAAGTCCTTTAGACCTTGACATGCAACCACGGCCAGCTTACACCCACAGAACATTAGGGGGCATTCAGCCATAACATGCTCTGGGTAGTCCACTCCACTAGAATTTTCTGGGACTATGGAAATGCTCTTTCTGTTCAATATGGCAGCCGGTATGTGGCCATCAGACCCTGAAAACATGGTTAGTATGAATGTGACAATAAATTTTAAATTTTTGTTAATTTTAACTCAAACTGAAATCTAAATAGCCATGCGAAGCTGGTTGCTGCTGTCTGGAGCAATGCAGCTGAGAGAAAGAACTCTCTGTAGCAAATGGAAGTTAAGAAAGGCAAAATGACAGTAAGTACTTTTCTGGCTCTTAGGAAGTCACATACAAAATAAAGCGGGTCACTCATCCAGTCGTGGCATGACCCACATGGCATTCCCTAACAATGCAATAAAATTGAATCGGAATTTGTACAGCTTATTTCAAAAGTATTCTTGACAAGCAAAATGGCTCTTATTGTTCAAAAGTATTCTTATGAACTGTTATCCTTATGTTTCTGGGAAAAGAGACAATGGTAAAGGTTTGAAATTCCTATTTTTGAAGTGGGAGAGATGAGCAACTAATTCTTTAATACAGATATAATTCAGCTACCTCCTCATAAGTGTAACAGTAACAGAACTCACATTGCAGTACTAGCTTTATGATTTCTGTAATTCCTTGTGAAAATTATAAGATATATACAAAACAAAATATTTGTCAATTAAATCTGTTTTTACATGTATAAATCAGTGACTGGTTTGTAAGCCCCCTTTCTTCTTTGGAATCATTGGCATCATTTTAATTTAGTGTTTAAATGACACTGTTTGATCATAGCTCTTAAATGTCCATTTTTATGCTAAAGACAGTTTCTAAAAAAGAGTAATAATATGTCTTAAAGAAACTCCTAACGACTAAGCTTTAGCAATTTTAGTAATGGGAGGCTTCTCACCATTCCATCAGTGTCTTTGTGGCTAGTAATTGTTGCCCTGTCAGGCTAATTGCATTTTTCTATTCCTTTTCTGCTTTACTATTGAACAGGATTTTTGTTTATATATTTTTGACTACTTTTGCTACCACCTATAAACCTGAAGCTTAAGACATCTTGCTATATATTTTAGTAAGGGAGAATGTGTATAAAATGCTTGTAATGCATCAAAATTAATGTGGAGAGTTTTGAAAAGTAACTAAGAAAAGTAGTGTGTTGGTCCAGGTAAATTGGAGAAATGAATCCATAGAAACTCCTATGTGTATAAGAGAGAGTTTTATATAAAGGATAATTGTACATTAAGAAAGCATCCCAACCCAGTCCATTCCAAGCCCTTAAGTCCGATATTAGCCCATATATCTGATACCAATCTATAAAGTCCTCTTCAGACTCATAAAACACATGCAATGATGCCGAGTGCAGGACGATCACAGGCCAGTGGGTAGAAAGTTTTTGGATCCAGTGGCGTTGTAAGTATTTCAGCAATGGCAGGGATCTCTAAGTGGCTTCTCCAGCTTTAGAGATCTGCTTACAGCTGGGTAGGTCCATGTGGCTTCTCCAGGTCAGCGAACTTAGTTCCATGTGTCTAGTCAACTGTAATGTCTCCCAGGAAGTAGCCAAGAGAGAGACGTGTCTCCCGCCTCCAAGGAAGAAAATACAGGATTTCCCAGAATTCTCAGAAGAAGGCCATGCCCACACAGAGGCCTCATTGGCTATGATCTGATTGACAGGCTAGACTCCACCCCATACACCCTTAATCCTCAAATTGACAAATGATTATATAACTACCACAACTAAGATAGAAGTCCATTATAGAAAATAAAATTTAAACCACCCCTAGCAGAATTCTATAGTCAACTGGCGACTCACAGTCATGGAGTCGATTCAGACTCATAGCCACCTCATAGGACAGAGTAGAACTGATCCTGTGGGTTGCTGAGACCGAAGTAGAAAGCCATGCCTGTCTTCCCAACTAGCACATTTCCCTAGTTATAAGTGCATGAATGAAATAGATGACTGAAGCTACAATCTGAGGAGGGATAGCTGCCTTCATTATCTCTCATGTAGTAGGTGTTTGTGTTGTTTACCTTTACGCCTTAAACATGGTGGTTATTATCATCACTGTTTCCTAAATGCCAGTGTTTGTCTGTCAGGTTGTCTTACTGTGTTGGTTTTGATTGTTGCTGTGACACTGGAAGCGATGACACTGGTATTTCAAGGTCACCCGAGGTGAACAGGTTTCAGCGGCGCTTCCAGACTAAGAACAGACAATGAATAAGGGATAGGATATTCACTTTTGAGAGCTTAGCCACTGAAAAACTTAGGAAACCTTTTGAAAAATCTTGCATTGTCAGCTATAATGCTGGGATGTTAGGCCCTCAGGTTGGAAGATGCCCAAAATATGACTGGAGAGAAGATAATAATGACACGCATGGAATCAAGCCTTCAGGGCCATCATTTGCTGCGGGGGGAGAACTCAAAATGGGGTGAAATTACTGAAAACATTCATTCATTACTAATTGGAACTTGGAATGTCCAAATGGAATTTAGGAAAATTGGAAGTTCTTTAAAATGGAAAAGTGCAGAAAAATTGATATTCTAGGCATTAGTGACCTGAAATGAACTGGTATGTGCCATTTTTAATCGATCATGATTTCAAATGCTGGGAATGACATATTCAAGAAACGTGGCATCACTATCATTATCAAAAATATTATTTCACCATCAATCCTGAAATATAATGCTTCCTGTTATAAAGACTTCCATAAGGAAGTCTAGTTAATACAATTATTATTCAGATTTATACATGAACCACTAAAACTAATGATGAAGAAAATGAAGAATTCTATCATGTTCTTCAGTCTGGAATTTATCAACTATGTAATTAAGGTTCCTTGATATTCAATATCAACTGGATTGAAAAAGTTGGAAACAAAGAGGAAGAAACATAGTTGGGACATAAAATGTTTAGAATTTTGCAAGATTAATAATTCATTGTGAATACCTTTTTTCAACAACATAAACTGTGACTATACCCACGGATCTTGCCACATGGAGCACACAGGATCAAAATGATTGCAACTCTGGGAAGAGCGTAGGAGAAGGTCAAGAACAGAAGCCAAAACCAGGCTGAGAGCTCACTGTGGAGCTGACCATATATTACTCATATGCAAATTCAGATGGGAGCTGAAGAAATTTAAAAGAATTCCATGAGTACCAAAACATGACCTCGAGTACATCCCACCTGAATTTCAATACCATCTCAAGAACATTTTTGACATAATATTAATGACAGAAGACCTGATAAACTGTGGGATGACATCAAGAACTTCATACAAGAAAGGAAGAAAAGACCAAAGTGAATGGCAGAAGAGACTCTGAAACTTGCTCAGGAAGGTAGAGTATCTAGAACAAGCAGAGGCAATGAAGTAGATGAAGTAAAAGAGCTGAAGAAAAAATCTCAAGAGGCTGCTTAAGATGACAAAGTAAAGCATTAGAATGAAATGTGCAAAGAGGTGGAGCTAGAATGCCCCAAAGGAAGAATATACTCAGGATTTCTCAAGGTGAAAGAACTGAAGGAAAAACTCAAGCTTTAAGCTGCAATATTAAAGGATTCTCTGGGAACCATACTGAATGATGCAGAAGCTTTGAGAGAAGAGGGAAGGGATACACAGTCACTGTATGAAAAAGAACCTGTTGACGTTCAATCATTTCAAGAGGTAGCATATGATCAAGAACGAAAGATAATGAAGGTAAAAGGTCAAGTTACATTGAAGTTAAAAACAAGGCTCCAATAATTGATGGAATGCCAATTGAAATACATCAATAAATTGACAAAGTATTCAATCATCGAGTCAACAAATTTGGAATACACCTACTTGGCCAACTAACTGAAGAGATTTATATTCCAAAGAAAGGTGACCTAACAGAATGAGGAAATTATTAAACAACAGCATTAATGTCACATGCAAATAAAATTTTGCTGAAGATTATTGATCAATGGTTGACCAGCACATTGATGGAGAGCTGCTAGAAACTCCAGTTGAATTCAGAAACAGATGTGGCATGATGGGTATCATTGCTGATGTCAGGTGAATCATGGCTGAAAGCAGATAATAACAGAAAGATTCTTACGGAGTTTTATTGACTAACTAAAAGCATTCTACTGTGTGGATCATGAAAACCTATGGGAATTTCTTAGCACTTCATTGTACTCATGCAGAACTTGTACATGGTACAGGAGGTTTTCATACAAAATGAACATGGGAGTATTTCATAGTTTAAAATCAGGAGAAGTGTATGCCAGAGTTGTATCCTTTCATACTGCATTCTATATGGAGAACAAATAATTCAAGAAATTGGAATATGTGAAAAAGAATGCAGCCTCAGGATTGGAAGAAGGCTTATTAATAGCCTGTGATAGACAGATGACCAAATTTTGCTTTCTGAAACTTGAAGCACTTGCTAATGAAGATCAAGGACCATAGGCTTCAGCATGGTTTACA